GATTGGGAGTAATCTCTTCATGGAAAATTGAAAATCAAGTATTTTTAAGCAGTATTTTTACTAAAAATTGCTATTTTCATGGAAAAGCGTTTAAATTTTATTTTCCAGTAGCATTTGAAGTATAGAATACATTGAATCATTTTAATTATCCTGTTTGGTGCTACAATTTGCTTTATGCTATAAATTTGTTGCCACCTCCAGTGGAAGCTATAGTAACACTTCCACAGATGTTTAAAAGATAGGTGGGATGGATTAACAGTTCATGAAATGTTGGGTATCCAACTGAAGTTTAGTTATCTGGAAAGGTTATGATCAGGGGATGTTAATTTGGCTAGGTGGCGAACTTTTCTGACAGTTTCGGTGTGATGCAGGAGTTACTAACTGCTTCCACTTTTTAGTAATTGATCTTAACAGCAGTGAAAAATTAAGGGGAGAGGATGTGCCGAGAGTTAACTATATTATTCACGTAATACAAAATGTTTAGAAGCAGGTGAGCTGAAAAACATGAAGAAGGATTGTTTCTGCCTGGTGATCAACTCTTCGTCATTTGACTAAAAAATACTCTTGAGATGAAAATGCACTGGATAGATGCCAGCACTGAAATACTAAAAGAGAAGCAAAACTGAAAGATTTTGTTCTTGTAGTAGTAGGAATACTTGTATGTCAAATTGAATGACGGTTATTCCAAATATGTTAAATTCACAAATAAGGTAATTAAGTACACATTCTTTCATTCATATTTGGTTCATTTTTTGTACACACAGTTATCCAGCATAGTACCGTGCATATGGTTGAGACTCAGTAATTCACACATTTATTCATACAACATATAGAGTATTTATTAAGCACCACTGTTTTCTGATGATAAGAATATAGCAATGATGAAAGTGAAGCCCCTCATGGCGCTTATATTGTGGTATCACCAAGATGATTACATCTGGAGTTGCAACCTGGGGAAAAAGTGATCACAAAATATAATCACCAGATGCCCATACTCTAGAAGCAGATGGACTGGATTTGAGAGTGTGCCCTCGCTGAGTGGCCTTCACAAGTTGCTCAACAATTTTGAGCCTCAGTTCTTTCATTAATAAAATGAGAATAATAATGGATTAAACAGGCGTGCTTAAACTCATATAGGATGAGACAATGTAAGTGTGCAGATCAGTGTTTGCCATTAAGTATCACATAAATGTCAGATATGGCTACTGTTAAAAAAAAGTTGATCTATGTTTAGCTCACAGATATGTTCCAAGTAGCAAATGATAAGCTCAATTGTCTGTCTTTCTTAAAGTTTTAGCCAAGTACTAAATTCTGTCCTATAGTATCACAGGTAAATAGTCCTTAATCATAAAGAGAAAAACCAGAGAATTTAAAATAACAAATATCTAGGTGTCAAAGCAAATGAGAAAATGATGTTACATGTCTGTACGATTTATTCAAAAAAGATTGTAGACAGCAAGAAAGAGCATAGCTCAATGGTTAATCTAGTTACTTATATTTGTGGCCTTCAATGTCCTCATCTGTGATAAAAGGCCTTCTTCATAGAGATTATATATGGATTAAAGGAAACAATGTGTGCAGGCTGCTTGGCTCAAGACCTGGTTGAGAGTGAGATTTCCTTAAACAGTGGCTATTACAATTGTAAGCTGATTATATTGAATCGACATTATTTATTTAGAGAGCTTTTGCCATTGCATTTCAATTAAAAAGGGATTTAAGGAAACTTTCAATCAGAGCATGTCTGAAAACCATTTAACATTGGTCTCACAGAAAGAAAACATTGCAAACATGCATATTGGTTCCAGTAAGAAGGGTACATGTCTGGTAAGTTTTCTCAGTGTTTGAAGCCCAGGGTCTACAAAGAATGGAGTGATTGTCCAACTACTTAAATGTAGAAAGAAGAACCAAATGTAATTAATGCCCATAAAACTATTCCAGAATTGCATCATAATATATTTTCAATGCTGTTGATTACTAAATTGTTGTATTTTTTCCTTTTTGTGTATAGTTCAGATTAACTTTTTAACAACTTTTCATTGTGTTTTTGGATAGCAAGATTGTAATTGGCTTCACAAAATGAGTAGCCCTGTCTGAAGAATGTCATCTTTTTTATTTGCTAGTATGATTTTAAAAAATAGTGATGGTATTCCTATTTATGAATTAATATCCCTCCTGCAAAAACACTCAGGCCAGTGTTTGTTTTTAATTATTTTTAATTGGCATTTATGAATGCCACTTCTCTAGTCAGAATTTCTGTATTTTTCTTTTCTTTTGCCAGTATTAGTATTCCCCTACTGGTATGAGGATACAATTGTTTTGTCAAGTCTTTCAAATTTGTTAGCATAAAATTACTTAAAATAGTCATTTTAAATTTATGTCTATGTTAAATCAGTAATTATTCATTTTTTAATATTTAATTTGAATTTCTCTTTTTTCTTTATTATCTCTGCCTAAAGGGGGTCCTAATATTTTCAGATTGTGACATTAATCATAATCTGAAATTTCTGCTCCCAATTTTAATGGCTTTCATTATTACTTTATTTTACTTCTTATATCTTTATCTTTGTTCTTTTTTAGCTTTATTAGGTTTTTTAAAATCACCCTTTTGTAAACTTTTTGTTCATTATTCATTTATTTGAGAGGAAGAGAAACAGAGAGAGAGCTCCTATTGGCTGATTTATCCCCAAATACCTGACTCCTGAACCAGGAGCTGGAAATGCAATCTTTGTCTCCAGTATGGGTGGCAGGATTCCCACCACTTGAGCCATTGTTGCTATAAAGGCTACCTTGCTGTCTCCCAGGTCCTACATTAGAAAGAAGCTGGAGTCAAGAGCCAGAGCCTGGAAGCAAACCCAGGCAGACTTTTGTGGAACCCAAACATCTTAACTACCAAGCTAAGCTCCTGTTATCTTGATTTGCTTTCCTGAGTAAACAAACGTATTAATTAATTTCCTGAAAAATATGTAAACCTACAGATTCCCATCTAAGTTTTGGCTAACCACACCACAAAATTTGGCATATAGCATTTTTGATGTCATTGAGTTCTAAGCAGTTGAGTTTCCCTTCATAATTCCTTCCTGATTTTTCTCCATAGTACAGAGGTTATCAGTAGTTTAGTTCCTGGATATATTTAATGTATACTTTCATAGCTTTCTTTTTTATTAATTAAAGAAACAAAATTAACTTTGACAGGAAGCTATAATTTTTTATTACAAAAGCTCTGGTCTTGAAGTGTTCAGGAATGCAATGTCCAGAATTTTTGGACTCACAAAGTCAAGTTTTTTTACTGAGAGAATTCCATATGCCTTAAGAAAAATTACAAAGCAGAAAATACATATTTTTTAATGTTCACATCCATTTAAATTATACATCATAATTAAATTATGGACAATTTCTCCCTTTTTTTCTGAGAGAAAATATCTAATGTTTCTATACAAGTTTTGAATGAGATTTCAAAATATTTTAATGAATCCAAAATGGATAGATAGTATTATTTTGGTGAAAACAAAAATATAAATTTCAGAGGCTCAGTAAGAATATGACTGAAAAACAGTTTTGTAGATACATTGCATTATGTTTTTGTGTTCATATTCACAAATAAACATGAATTTCAAAGAGAATAAAAACCTTTAAGACACTTTTTTTTAAGCCAAATGCTTGCAGTGTGGGCACTGAGTCTAGTAAGTTTAGGACATCCACATCCCGCATTAGAGTACCTGGGTTCAATAGCCAGCTCCATTTCCTGACAACAGCTTCCTGCCAAGGCAGACCCTGGAAGGCAGCAGTGCTGGCTTAAGTGTTTGGGTCCCTGCATTTCCACAGAAATCATGGCACAAGTTCCTGGATCGTGACCCTGGTCCTTGCCAGATCCAGCAGTTTCAGGCATTTGAAGAGTTAACCAGTAGATGGAAGTTTTCTCTCTTTCAAATAAATAAAAATATTTTAATAGGAACCTTTACTCAACTTTTTAGCCACAAAGTTTTTCCATGAAATGTAATTATTTTCTTTTAAGAATCCATTTATTTTTGTACTACCAATATGCTATTGCAAAGACAGACTTTTTTAAAACCCTAGTATCACAAAAGTGAAAATTATGTTCTAATGCAAAGAGAGAATTTGATTATTACTTGCTTGTAGATGTTGAGTACACTAACAGATTATTAAAAGTAAACAAGGAAATTTATAAGAAAAATATGTGAATAAAAATATGGCACCGAGAATTTTTGTTTTCTCAAAATTTATAACATTATACATATTTTTAAAAATAAGATGTCAAATCAAGAACAGCCATTTTGCACCAGATGATTATCCTGATGCATTTTTTTTGATAGGCAGAGTTAGTGAGAGAGACAGACAGAGAGAAAGGTCTTCCTTCCGTTGGTTCACTCCCCAAGTGGTCACTACGGCCGGCGCACTGCGCCGATCCGAAGCCAGGAGCCAGGTGCTTCCTCCTGGTCTCCCATGCGGGTGCAGGGCCCAAGCACTTGGGCCATCCTCCACTGCACTCCCGGGCCATAGCCAAGAGCTGGACTGGAAGAGGAGTAACCAGGACAGAATCCGGGGTGCTGGCGCCACAGGCAGAGGATTAGCCTGGTGAGCCACAGCACCAGCCTATGGTTATAGTGGAATCAGTATGCTGGTAAAGAAGTGATCACATCAGCTGGGAGATGTTTACAAATCTTATGGGGCGTCAAGACACTAAAAATTTCAGCGATGGCTTTCTTAATAGTTTGTGCTCTGCCACTTTTCTAGAAGTTTATAAAAACAGAATAGGTAGGGTGGCATTGGACAAAATGTAACTTGGCTTGAGGATATGATACTATTACAGGAAACTTTTTTTAAAAGTAATTTATTGGCTTATATGAAATCTGTATTTCTTTCCATGGAGTTGATTTTGTGATTGAGTGTGCTTTAGGATATGCAAACTGTTTGTGTAGAAATGCATGTATGATTATCTCTTCAGCCTTGCCCCTACCTTCCGCTCTTTCTCTATTTCACAGAAGAAATTATGACATCAACATCCAAAGGAATTCTCCGCCCATTTTTAATCGTCTGCATTGTCCTGGGCTGCTTCATGGCATGTCTGCTCATTTACATCAAGCCCACCAACAGCTGGATCTTCAGCCCAATGGAGTCAGCCAGCTCAGTGCTGAAAATGAAAAATTTCTTCTCCACCAAAACGGATTATTTTAATGAAACTACTATTCTAGTGTGGGTATGGCCATTTGGGCAGACCTTTGACCTTACATCCTGCCAAGCAATGTTCAACATCCAGGGATGCCATCTCACAACAGACCGTTCACTGTACAACAAATCTCATGCGGTTCTTATCCATCACCGAGACATCAGTTGGGATCTGACTAATTTACCTCAGCAAGCTAGGCCACCCTTCCAGAAATGGATTTGGATGAATTTGGAATCACCAACTCACACTCCTCAAAAGAGTGGAATCGAGCACCTCTTCAACCTGACTCTGACCTACCGCCGTGACTCAGATATCCAAGTGCCTTATGGCTTCTTGACGGTGAGCACAAACCCCTTCGTGTTTGAAGTGCCAAGCAAAGAGAAGCTGGTGTGTTGGGTTGTAAGTAACTGGAATCCTGAGCATGCCAGGGTCAAGTATTACAATGAGCTAAGCAAAAGCATTGAAATCCATACTTATGGGCAAGCATTTGGAGAATATGTTAATGATAAAAATTTGATTCCTACCATATCTACTTGTAAATTTTATCTTTCTTTTGAAAACTCAATCCACAAAGATTACATCACAGAAAAGCTCTATAATGCTTTTCTGGCTGGCTCTGTGCCAGTTGTTCTAGGGCCATCTAGGGAAAACTATGAAAATTATATCCCAGCAGATTCATTCATTCATGTGGAAGACTATAACTCTCCCAGTGAGCTAGCAAAGTATTTGAAGGAGGTTGACAAAAACAATAAGCTATACCTAAGTTACTTTAACTGGAGGAAAGATTTCACTGTAAATCTTCCAAGATTTTGGGAATCACACGCATGCTTGGCTTGTGATCATGTGAAAAGGCATCAAGAATATAAGTCTGTTGGTAATTTAGAGAAATGGTTTTGGAATTAAAGCTTTCCATTATTTGCATACTTGGTAAAATATTTTGATGAGATATTATCCAAGTTTTGAGGATAAGAAGAAAAACAATGTTCTTCTTTTATGTCACGATTTATTTTTATCAGTCTCTCTTGGGTAACATGTATATTTTATTGGAGATTTTGAAGAGCTCGGCATTAGCAATCATTTCATTTGATTTTAAATTATCCTGTATATACCTAATTATGTGCACTGAAAAATAATTTATTCTTCATTATCGTTTGTAAACATTGTTTTTTCACATTTCATAGTTGTCTGTAATGTAAATTGTTATTTGATTGTTGTTTCTACACTGATCAGCTGTTTAATCTATTTGAGAAATGAAAATACACATCTTAAAATATGAAAGATTTTCACTAAATATTATAATCTATAGTTCCATGTTTGCATAATATAACAAAGAGAGAATGTATTATAATTGAATTCTAACTTCTTTGACTTCAAAGTCGAACAATGTGTCAAATTGTCGGTAATGGATCTATGTTTACATATCTACCACATTTGTGAAGGCAGAGTTCACAGTGAATGAGAAGACGTGAAGCAGAACAGTCTTGTCCAGGAAGCTTTTAGGTTTCCCATTTATTTTCATTAAGTCGACTTGCAAAGGCAGTACTTATTCTCATGATCTTAGGTTAAATTATTTACCCATCTTTAAATGTCTAATTTGTTGTAACTTTGCTACCTGGGAAATAATATGAATAACACTTGAGAAAATTTAAAGTATTGCTTGATAACACTTACTGTAATAATAAAACAACTCAACAAAAAAGATATCTATAGGCATAAACCATATTTATAAATGTACCATTTATGCACAATTTTAATTACTTATCAATTGAAAGTATTTTTCTGAAGCCCCAAGATTTAAACAGTTTGATTTTACCATATGAACAAATAAGTATAGCATTTGAGAGGTATGTCCTCTCATTTATGAAAAACTTAAGTAAAACTATTATCAGATAATTGTCTGCACCACTTCCCTACATATGGTTAAAGAAGGGAGAGAGACAATAACTCAAAAACATGTCAAGAAGCCAAGCATATGAGAATATAATCCAAGATATTAGGTGGGAAAAGCCAAGGTGTTTTCAAGGAAAACACTCCCCAAAAGAATCTGTATTACTTTTATTCCATTCTGCCCATCAAAAGAATGAGAATGTTCTGATGATATCTATAAGGGTCTATCTGTAACTAGTCCTGTAACATGTTGATATCAGCAGAACTGAAACCCACAATCTTCTTCACCAAATAGAAATTTGAGAGATAAATTTTCATTCAGTAAGAGTAAAGCAGGCCCAACAATGAAGACTGCCTTGTGAGAGGGATTTCTTCCTAGTACTGGAAGAATTAGAGCAAAGGAAATTTCTTTCATTGGATATAAAATTGTTTGATTCCCAAGTTCATTTATTTAGCAGTGACCATACAATTATTCAGTGTCAGGCAGTGCCAACCATAGTCAACACAGAGATGAAGATGAGCAAGATAATATTGCTGCCTTAAAGAAGTTAACGATTAAATGGAGAAAGATATGAAAGTTTCCTTTCAACTAGAGCCTGAGTCTATGTTTATGCTTATACTTATACTACTCTCAGAGGAGTATATATGGGTCACTGTAGGTGTTATTTTAAAAAAGTATCAAATTTCTCCAATTGCTTAGCTCTTCACATGTTTCTTAGCTGCAAACTTTGTCTACTCATTTGACACAACATAGATGTCCTCCGTATTATCTCTTCTAACCAAAGTGCAACAAGAAATACAACATATGTCTGCATAGTTGCCCTCCTAGAAAAGTAAAGCTCTCCACTCATGTTTATTATATTGTCAAATTGTTAAATAGTAAATTCATGTGATTATACTTACTTTATCATTTTTTAGCCTATGAAGAATATAAGGATTTAAAGAGGATTTATTGCAAACAAGTGTAGAAAGCATCTGCTGTCTTTGAAAGTAGATAACCTGTCAGTATCTTTTCAATCTGCCTTTTCTATATGGAGAGATCTGAGGGCAGTTGCCTATGTTGTTGAATCTGGGCTTTTTCTTGAACTATGAATAGGATTATATGCTGATAATATGACCCAAATCAAGGAAATATTCCTAAGTGTTTAACTGGTGCATCTGTAAGTGCAAAACCTGTTCCCAAGGTCCTGAAGCATAAGTTTTCTGAATTTGAAATGTCAAAATGAAAGATTCAACTGAATCCTTCAGTCTGGGCCCACTGATCTGTGAGACAGGGTTAGAAGGAACTATAGCAATGCTATAAATAATTTGTTCTTTCTATTTATGAGTTAACTATATTCAGAGATATTATTTATTCAAGAAACACATTCACACACACACACACACCCCATGCCCTACAGCTACAGTAGGTAAGATTAGCATTTAAAGGCCATCTCTCTCTCTTTTTTATGAGATTCATTTATTTATTTGAGAGGCACAGATACAGAGAGAAAGACGGACAGAGATACAAATAGAGAGTGAGATCTTCCTTCTGCTGGTTGACCCCCCAAATAGCTGCAATTTGCGGAGCTGGGCTGATCCTAAGCCAGGAGCCAGGATCTTCCTCTGGGTCTCCCATGTGGGTGCAGGTGCTCAAGCACTTGGGCCATCCTACACTGCTTTCCCAGGCCATTAGCAGAGAGCTGGATCAGAAGCAGAGCAGCTGGGACTCAAACCAGCACTCATATGGGATGCTTTACCTGGTACACCTCATGCCCTATCTCCCTTAATACAAAGTTCCTTTTCATTGGATTCCAACCTCATCATGGAAGTATATCTAGATTCCTATAAATGTGAATGTCTTATTGGCATTTTTTTGGAATCTTTAGAACGATACTCTGTGTGGAAGAACTTTGGCTTTGGAGGTATACAGGAAATAAAACATTAAACTTGCTAGCATTCTTCCTGGTTTAAATAGTGTAAGAGCTGAGCTTTCTCAGAGGAAATGGGTTTTTATTATATTTAAGTTAAACATGATTTTCAAGAAGGTGCATAGTTCTTAGCCAGTCCCTTAATAAATCCTGTGGATTGCAATTCTTTCTAAGGATGTCTCATGTGAAAGATACATTGATTCAATAAAATAGTGGTTATAAGAACAAAAATTATTCCTGGGGAAATTTGTGTATATAAAAACAGGGCATTGAAAATGTTTTATTTTGAAACATCAAAAATGTTGCTTATAATGTTCTAAATATCTAAATATTAATTATTATAGGCTTTACTAATAAGACTATACTGAATTGTCAAAACCTGCAGTATTATACTCTGAAAAAGAAAGATGTGACAATCATATATTTTATGACACCATTAATTTGACTATATAAAGAAGTATCTGAAAAAAAAACTTAGTGGGAAGCTAATATCATCTTGAAATTTTTATATTTACTGTAAAATTTCTGATAGTACTAACATGTGCAGACATTATTTCAATTGTGAGAATTTAGAAAGTTCAGAGCATTTAAAGTGTAAAGCAACAGAATGTTTAGGAAATTTATTGCTGAGCCTTTAAATACTTGCCTCCAAATGGAGGCTAAATATGAAAAGAATAGGAAATGATACTACTGATATATATTTTTTGCCTGTGCATTTTCAAACTAGATTCCATGAGTCTTAAGGTAATCACCTAGAAAATGTCTTATTTTTCCTTAATTAATATGTTACTAAAACAAGTTTTAGTTCCTTCCATTATGACTTTGTGCTTGATCATATCTTTGAGTTCCCTTCAACTCTAGTCTCCTTTAGGGAAACTTCCTAACACATTATAATAAAGCTCTTAAATCACAAACTTCAGAATCTAAAGAATAAGCTTGGTGCCTTCTGCAGAGAAAGTTCTCAACAAACAATTGTTGAGTGAATAAATGAGTGTCATTCATAGTCATCAAATTGCTTTGGCTAATGTAGTGACAGTACCAACTTATTGGGACCAATAGGAGGTTTTTTATATTTATATGATTGTTCACTTTGCTGCCTGCATGCATAAGGAAGCCATTGTTTACTACATGCTAAGGCCCCAAAAGAACTAAAACTGCAAGAAAGATTTAGAAGATTTGGAACATGTTAACATTCTATTCAAATAGTAGTAACATATCAACTGTTTCAAATAACTGTTTCTAATAGTAAAGAAAATTAGTATTTATGGAGAATATAAAGTGCAAGCACTGTGAAGAGCAAATATTTATTATCAAACTATGCATGGAGAGAAATACCATTTCTCTCCTCCCTAACTTCATTTTGTTGTATTGCAAATATTAGTCAATTACAATTTTTTTCCTTGATGACTCTCATCTAGAGATTTTATAGCATTTTAAAAATGGTTGAATTCCACTACTCTCTGAAGTGATCTCCTAGTCAGTAATTCATATTGAATGCTTCCATATTCATAAGCATTTTATAAAACAGTCAACAGAACCTGAATGAAAGCAAGCTTTCTACACTAAGCATATGAATGTTATCCTAGGTTATTAGTACAACAAACTTAATCTTGAGAAATATATTTAATCTCTTTGGGACTTATTGTTGTTCATGTGTAAAGAACCTAACCTTGATTTTTTTTTTTACCAGAGCTTAAAATATAACATGTGCTCAGTTAATTAACCTTCTCCTTTATCTCTTCTCTCCCCTTAGAAATCTAAATAAGTCTTTTGTTTGTAACTCACTACTCAATGAGTTTTTACCTGCAGAAAAACAATATACTGGACATTATTTTAAAATATTTTAGGTTTTTCTGTGCTATATAATTTTTATTACATTGATCTAAAACACTTATTGATGCAAAACATTCAATGAGGTAATGAAAGCAAGTAAGGTAATCCTCAGCTGACAATAAAACAGCATAATTTCAGTAATCTATATTGAATACATTAAGAAAATTTAGTTATTTTTAACAGTTAATATACATTCATGCATTTGACTGACTTGGAAACTAATTTTTGTTTAGAAAGTACCTCTACAACACCAATCATCTTTGGTCAGTATCACAAAAACACGATTCCTACGTCACTTGATCTGAAATCACTACTGTTTATTAATAAAGCTATTCTTAGGGTCTGTCTCATGAAATTGAAATCTCTTAAAATAATTTCAAAAAAAGCATTATCTTAATATATTTCCTAAGTTATTTTGTAAGCTATCTTATCCTAAGCCACCTGTTCTCAAACACATATGACTTAGAATTTCCTGGGTCTGCCGTTTGAGAATCATTTGAAAGATTATTTACGATATGCAGCTTCAGATTTTCTGTATCTGGGATGGCTGCTGGAATCTGTGTTTTAAATATCTCCCCCAAAATTTTGTTTTGCTAACAGTTTGAGATCAGTGTCCTACCTGTAAAATGGGAAATATTCTACACTCAAATAATAAGAAATAATTGTCTTTCTTTAGTTTAGCTGAAATCATACATCAGTGGAGTATTCTTCTACTTCAAGATCCAAGACATTTTCAATGCCTAATTCTTTCATCCATGAGCTTACAACTCACTGATTTTTCTTGTTTTGGGGGGGTTAAGTTATTTATAGTCTCCAGGCATTCTTTCAAGTTGTGAGTGGCTGATAGCAGTAATTCTGAAGCCTAGATAAATATTAGGATCCTCTAGGGAAGCTTTAATTATGAGTGGTCTGTCCTCATTTCCAAAGATCTGACCCAAATGGTTTAAGGAAGGATACAGAGTCTAGAAGTTGTAAATACTCCACAGGTAATCTAATATGAAGACACTTGTGGGAACCAACACAAACAGCCGTTGGCCTGGGGGAGCTAAAAGGAGAAGAAAAGGTTACACACCTAGAACAAAATATTTCTAATTACCTTTTTAGGTTCTAATTGTATTTTTATGTTTTCAATGGGAAAGACTGGACAAAGACAATGACTAGGTTCCTTTAGAAGCACAAAATCAAATGACTTTGTGATCTCTTTATCCATTGCATGTGATTAAGAAACTGCTTCAGTGGTTCCACCATCCTTGTCTGATAGGTAGAAAGGTAATTTGAAACTGAGCTATGACAAGAAGTCATAGCACATGGATTTAGAACTAACAGCTGTCTCCTTCACTAGTTGGGTCCAAGTTCCTTGACTTCTCTTAGCCTCAGATTTTGCATTTCTGAAGTGAAGGTAACATATTTCTTATGTGCATTTTTTTGTGGAGACAAATGGAATTATATTCAAGTGATTAGATAATAAATGTTCATTTATTATGCTTTAGCTTTATGGGAGATAATTAGGAAGAATCCACAGCTATTTCCTTAATTTCAGTTCTAACACTAAGGATGTTAAGCAGATAGCTTATAAGAATCACTGCAAATTTAAACAAGCCAAAGGAATAATCTTCAGGAGGAATGAAACAAATATAGTGTGAAAGGGAGTATTCACGTCTTCTGTAATTACTAAGTAATGGAAAGGGTATGGGGAGCAGCAGAGGTGATAAATAAGCATTGTTTGCATTACTGAGCACATGTACCATTTGTTAAAATAATTGGAATCCAAGCAGGCCTAATTTGCCCTCACTGTTATGAGAAATCAGTAAATGAATAGCTTATATCCGTTGCTATAGCTCAAGTCACAGAATGGAATAGCATGAAAGTTCTCTGATTTTCTGATAAGGAAAGAAGGCTAGAAAAAGTCAATAACTTGACTTAGAGATTAGTTAATCAATGTTAGGGAAAATCATAACATCTGCATCTCCTTTTCCTAGAGTTAAAAAAAAACAATAAAAGTTACTTTTGAAAATCTGAGTATAAAATCAATATACAGGGATATATTTTATTAGTGGTGCAGAAATAAAATAATTATTATTCAAACTGTGATTGACTACTCCAATTGCTAATTGCATAATAAATAGTTCTGACATGCATTATCAGAACTGTTTATGTACACAATTTTTAAGTTGTATCATGTTAAAACTAAAGGGTAAACTTAAAGAGTCTACATCTTGTTTGAAAAAAAAGAATAATATCCAAAATAGCATTTTAAAATAATTCTTATGTTCATTTAAAGAACATTAGAAGTGTTTATTGCTAGGACATCAGAAAAATCCAAAAACAGAATTATTGTTATGAATTATCTGGCAACCAATACTTTTGAATTAGTTGTGTATATAAGATATGTACAGTTAGAGCTTGCTGGAATTTCATTGTAAAAAATAAATACAGGTTTTACCTGAAAAATTTTAAGGACAGTTTCCACAAAGAGGTATATTAACTGTAGTAATACAGATGGGTTACATTCCATTTTGATTAATGAAGGTGCAGGAGATAGAAAAGCAGGCTTGCAGAAATGATACTCAAACACTGAATTAACAACACAGGACTACTTAGGTGAGAAATATGCACGTGCCCGTGTGTCCACATTCCCAGTCTCAGGTTGGCCTCATTAGCCCTTTATTCCCTCAGCTGAGGAAATTGTGAAGACGCCATCCTCTGCCAAGGTGAGATTGCTGGAAGAAGGCCTATAGGGAGTGGAACAAATGTCTCCAGGAACTGTAATGAGGTCAGGCATTGCGCAGTGATTTTCCTCTTTAAGAGCCTTTGAGCAAGCCAAGGATATCTGGCTGTTTATGCAAAACTTAAAGCAGTCTTCTTTCAGATAATAGATGACCTGTCTCAAATAGTTTATTATTTTAAAACAATTAAACGAAAAACCATCATATTTGAGATTAAAAGCTTACTTTAAAAACTTTCAGCTTATAGATGCCCCACATTCAAATCAATGACAGCTCCTGCTCTGTAAGATTAATAGTCTACCCATCCCTGGAATTGGATCACAGAGGTTTTAAAACAGAAAAAAAGAGCAAGCAAGTCTGTATCTAGATTCAGGTTCACAAACCTGCAGAAAGGAGTAAAGTGTCAACAAGAAAAGAAGTAAACTAAGGATCAGAGCCCTAGTTCTAGTTTGCACAAACTACTGTGTAATTTCACCAGCATTTCTGGGTAACAGATTTCTCATCTGGAAGTGGAAGGAGGTGGACTATATACTAGAGTTGCCAAGAATATCTTAATACATCTCTTAGTTGATTAGAAATTATTACTCCATTTATCTGACATGGGGCATGGGCTGCCACATATTCTAGATTTTTTCTTTCATTTCTTCCTGCTCCCTACCACGTGGCCCTGTCACTGCTCTATAATGTGAACAATGAGGAAATGGGAATCATGAGAAATAGAGGAAAGAGGTTAATAGGTATTTTCTTCAGGAGCTCTGATTAAAGAGTTCTGAAAAATAAAGTTTCAATAAAGTTCTACAAGTGAAGAGTGGAGAACTTTACATGTTTCATCTCATTCCCTCAAGAACACAAATAGTGATAGACAATATCAATACCTAGTAAAAAAAAATACAACTTAACTCTAATTTTAAATAAAACAACTTACACTCAAGTAAGGAAGGGCAAAATTATCACATTAAAAGAAAATGTGCCAATTCCATCCAATATGTGAATTATAACATTCAGTAACCTATAAGCTATTTGGATGGTAATTGTATGTTTTATTGTTGTAAAATAATTTTGCACTATTGTATTGTCATATTTAAGCAAACTCTTAATATCCTGAAACCTAATGCCAAATGTACAGTTTATAGGTTCATGTTATTTCTGATAAGCATTCAATTGCATTGTGCTAGTAGTTGTTTAATGCTATTGACTTTGTGTGTACAATTGCCATGCAAACCCAATAGGGTTGTTGTAAGCACACTAAATAGTCATCTGGATTTTTATAGATAAAATCATACATTGACCAGAAATCACTTTTCTACTTATTTTTTTGTAGAGTATTTTTCCACATTTGAAAAAAAACATGGATTATTTTATATCAAACATCAGCTTTTATTTAATATTGTATTTTATTAGCCAGTGCATGTTTGAAATATGATAGAAATTATATGATATTAATGTTGTGTTTATATTAGGTTAAAATAAAATGCATGCATTTGGTTAGTCATACAGATTTGGGAATATTTACACTGCCAACTCACACATGGGCTCCATATCAATCCATGTGCATGATTCAAAAGTCCTTTCTAAACAGTTGGTAAAGTGAAAATGTCACTAGTGCTTATGAGCCAATAGCCAATGCTACTTTGCATTTTTCCCAATTTTGCAGCATATTGTGATATATTTTCCCCATAAATTTTCTTCTTGGAGTTTATTGTTGGCAGTAAAATAAAGCAAATAAAATTATTTGTTGGGAAATGATATAATTTACTGTACAGAATCTTAATATTATAAAAGCATGAAGATGTGAAAAAAATACTTAACTAGTTCTATTCTATGGACACAAAACTGTGGCAGCTTTTTCCATAGTCAACAAAGATATGTCTCTTTTTACACTGCCAAAGTCAGTACAGTACTACTGCCAGGGATGGGGATGGGGCAAGGGAATACTTGAAGCCAGGTCTGCATAACACTAAATTGAATAGTAACACAAATATTCAGGCAGTGTAGACAGCCAGTCACTATAATTGGTAGGGGAAAAAAAGTGGACCTAGCCTTTTTTCTTAGTAATTTAAATAATTTTAAAATTGTAAAAAGGGTATGAATTTTGGCTATAGAGGCATGCATTTGCATGCTGATAATTTACAGCAGTCTTTGTGAATAACAAAAAAATACTGCATTCAGAGAAGTTTGTTTTGTTTTGTTTCTAGAAAATATACTTGTGCTTTTGAAAGGGCTTAATTCCAAACAGGTAATGTGTCTGGACCAATTACCCCTTCCGAATGAATTCACTCACTGATGATAATATATTAAGACTAGAACATAGCTCTTAGTAACTTAAAACACCAATATAAGAATTTACACTGTTGGAAAGTAATTCCATTGCTCTATTATTAAGACAGTGGGAGTCCTATTTATACATTTATTTATTTATTTATTTACAGAAGATTGGTTCCTTCGAGTTCAATTTTAACAGCTTCAGTGAAGTTAGTATAATCATAAGGAAATATGACTCTAGCTACTATTCCAAGTGAAAATTATGCAACTGAGTTTTGCTGCATCCTGGGAGTTAAGCAGTAAATCAAATGAGGAGTAGCCAGTCCTAGCAGTGTGGAGGTCAACTTCACCAACCAAGATGTTGTGTATTTGTAACATACAGCAAATATTGATCTGAACTCAGTTTGCTACCGCATTGTACCATTCATTTATTCAACTTGTAAATAACATAACATTTTATGGCAGCTAATCAAATGTTTTAATAAGCCATGAAAGGCAAAATGCCATAGAAAATCTGTATATTCAGCTATTTGAAGAATCGTTCATTCCAAAAATTAAACTGGAGACACCATTTGAAATGTCTTTCCCTTAAAAAGTGCTATGACAATATAGATTCACACTCATTGCTGTCTTTCTGAGCTTATAAATATACGGTGTGACTGCTATAATTTTGTGAAATTTTGATCAGCAGTTATGGTGACTTCTGCAATCTGTGCTAAGATGCCAAGGCAGAAATACATGTATAAAAAATTTGAACCTGTATGTGTAAAAAGAAACCTCTTTCTTCGGTTATTTTTCTTATATTCAGTGTAAGTATCTCACTGATTTAACACTGGAGTTACTTCTTGGATGTGAAAATAATGATGTTCTATTCAGGCCTAATGAATTCCTGTAATGTGAATATTTAAAATAAAAAGATTTAATTTGAATGTACAATAGTTGTTGCCGGTTATTTGTGATCTATTCAAAATCATTGACTTGTGAACATTCATTTTCACTTGCATGCAAACTGAGAGTATTGGTATTGATTGAATTAAACTTTTGAAAATAAAGCAAACATATTTTCTGGATAATTCACTTAAAAAATCTGAAAAGGGCAGTCAGCATGCATCTGTGAACTGTTTATACTAGTTTGTTTCCTTAATCTTGCATTGTTTTAATGGATTCAGGACTGCAGTTAGATCCGCTCATGATTGTGCTTGTGTATACAGAGAACAGAAAACTACCAAACCCTCTTTATCTTGCCTTGATACTATCTCTGAAGATATCTCACTTTGTATCTTCAATTATCCACTCCCCTACACACTCCCCTGACTGTATTCTAAAATCCCAGGTGGATTATTATGTATTCATTATAGACTTCTCTCTTTAGCCATTTACCTCTGTCCTTTAATTGCCTACTGTCATCTAACTTCCTGCAGATCCAATGACTTGAACAGCAGACTCTGAGATGATTTCTACACCTAATGTTTCATTTACTTAATAACCTTATTATAAATTATGTTGCCTTAGTCAAATGCTTAGAAATCACAGTTGATTCTTCCTCCCCCTTTTTCTGCACATTGATTTGACCATTAAATGTCTTAAATAGGAGGTGATTTCAAAAATTCTTGGAAAATGTAATTGCAAGGTAAGTTCGTTAAAGTTTCAAAAATATTGCCACCAGGCAGAATAACAAGAAGGGTGATAGTGAGAGAGAATTCAGCAATAGTACTGAGTAATCATTCATTTTCCAAACATCATATACTTAAAATCTTTAATTCATTCTCCAATATTTGGAGGATAAATTCCTCATTTGGTATTGGGTTGCAAATTGTTCTTTAATATTTGACTTTTACCAAATTTTCTAAGTTCTTATTTGTTTTCCCTTTGCATTGGCCCATCACATTTTCTCCTCTATGATACTTCCTACATCATGCTGTGAGCTTTCAGCATCCTTAATATTACACTCAAGAGTCATATCTAGTATAATGAAAAAAATATTTGAGGTGTAAAGTACATTTCAGAGATGTTCAAAGGCCACGACAGAGGTAAGATAATTAGCATTTTGTGAAATAGTCCTTGAAGGAAGAATTTAGACAAGCAGAGAAGACATGTGGATAGACCTTCAAATGGGAACATGGATCGTCATCCTTGAAGACAGGATACATTGATTTCCAACGTGTAGTCACAAAGAAGAGTGTTAGGTAAGGCATTAGATAGTTCAAAGACGTTCAATAAATAGGCAGCTTGACACACAAACTGATAAATGTAGAGTAGCTTGATTGATTTGAATTGAATTAGTTTTAATTGATTTATACTACAGAGTGAGTCAAGTCATTGAAAATATATGAGCAGACATTTGAGTGTACAAAGCCATGAAACATCATTTTAAAATGCTGTCATTAAACAATGTAAACTATCACCATAATCTCTCATACATCCTCCTATCGAGTTTTCTATGTGTGCTAATGAAAAGCATCTCTCTTTTGCTAAAGAGAAACAGTATTGTGGTGACTCCTAGTGTCTGGGTTTGGGGCTGGACAGCTGACATTGAGCGTTCGATGACAAATGTCTTGCTTCCAATTATGTGTACTTGGGAAGATTATTTCACCTCACTTCACCTCAGCTTTCTCATGTAGAAGGCAAGTGTAATAACAACATCTTCACTACAGGATTCTTGTAAAGAATAAATGAGTTAATACATATATGAGATTTACAACAGAACCTGACAGAGTAAGCACTCAGTAAGTTAGTTGTTACCTAAAAATCAACACCAACACTGAAGGATATAGATCTTTCTTCAGTTACTTCAGTTACTGCTAAGTCATCTTCTTCTAAAAAATAGTGTTATTAAAACTTAGAACTCCAAATTAGTGCTAGATTTTTGGGTAGACCAAGACAAGTTCAAGAATATGACTGGATATATCCTAGAGACAGGAAAAATACTGTATTTTTGATGGCCTACATTCAATGGTCAGGTATCTGAAACAAAAAGAATTCATAGAAAACATGCTCTGCTTTGGAAATTACCATATCTAAAGTAAGCTGTTTGGGAGTGAGCAGTTAGCCTAGTGGTTAAGATGCCATATCAGAGTGACCAGGTGAGATTTCAGCTCCAGCTCCTGACTAGCTTCCTGCCAAGGCAGACCTTAGGAAGCAGCAACTATTGCCCAAGTAATTAGGTTCCTGTCACCCCCATGGGAGACTTGAAATGCATTCCCAACTCCTGGCTTTGTCCCTGGTCCACCCTTGGCAGTGGCAGGAATATGGGAGCAAAAAAGTAGATGGGAGCTCTCTTTCTGTTTCTCACTCTCTGTGTATCTCAATTAAAATTTTAAAATATAATAGTAATAAAGTAAGCTGGTGAAAGTGATAACTCAGAATGTATCATATTACAAGCAGCACAGAAATCATTTTGAACATGGAACTGGCCTGGGAAAAACTGCACACTCTTTTCCAAACTTGTGATGGAATTTTTTCCTCTGGTTCGTTTACATTCCCTCTATCTTTCACAGTAAAAAATTTTGAAATGGCTTCAAAAATTGATATGCTCTAGCAAGCAAGAAAATGAGCCCAATGTCCAGAATTTCTGTGACACGCAATCGCTTAAAAGGGGCAGAATAAATCAATATTTAATAGTTAGTGTCATTTTTTTTTTTTTTTGACAGGCAGAGTTAAACAGTGAGAGAGACAGAGAGAAAGGTCTTCCTTCCATTGGTTCGCCCCCAAATGGCCGCTATGGCCGGCCCGCTGCACCTTTCCAAAGTCAGGAGCCAGGTGCTTCCTCCTGGTCTCCCATGCAGGTGCAGGGCCCAAGCACTTGGGCCATCCTCCACTGCACTCCCGGGCCACAGAGCAGAGAGCTGGCCTGGAAGAGGGGCAATGAGGACAGAATCCGGCGCTGCAACGGGGACTAGAACCCGGTGTGCCGGCGCTGCAGGCAGAGGATTAGCCTAGTGAGCCGTGGCGCCAGCCTTAGTGTCATTCTCAGTTTACCAGATTTTGCGATATATAAATATTAAACCCCAAAAGCTTTAGGTAAACCCAAAACTCAGTATTTTAATCATTAAAACCATAAATACTTCAAGCAGAAATAGTATTTTAGATATTATGAATTTGAAGCATAAGAAAATGGTTGTTCAGCCATTTGTCCAATTATTAAATTTGTTAGTATATATTATTTATTTTACTTAAATGGCCATGTTTGCAAATGATAATTCAGGTTGAACACTGCATCAAATGGTGTCCCTGAAATTTATGTCTAAAGTTAGGCTAGTGTCAAATATTCATTCTTCATCTTGCTCAATGAATAAAAATTAAATCAATGGTCAAAAATACCTTTGAAAAATGCTCCAAAATATTTATATATTTAATTTTCAGAGATTCACAATGCACTATTGTCTATTCAAGTAGCCAAGATGTCCTTCAATAAAGACATTTGTTTTATTTGACCTAGCATTTCTCAAATGCATTTTAAGATAGAAACTGTTTTCTATAATGTTTACATCCCAGAAAGTAGTGGTCTAATTAACACTCTGAAAAACCCCTGCTCCAAGGCCAATTGCCTTTTGATCTACTATATCATCAGCTCAATATTATAAGTCACTTGAGTCTGAGTGGTATTTATTGATGCCTATTATATATATATATATATACATGAGAGAGAGAGAGAGAAAAAGAGAGAGAGGTTTTCCATTAGCTGATTTACTCCTCAAATTCCCACAAAAGCCAAGCTGAACCAAGCTGAAATCAGGATCCTGGAACTCAATCCAGGTCTCCCACATGGGTGGCAGGGACCGAAGTACTTTAGCCATTACCACTGCCTTCTGTAATGCGCATCAGCTGGGAGCTGGCATTAGAAACAGAACTAAAACTTGAATCTGTGCACTCTGATATGGGTTGTGGGCATCAAATGTAGCATCTTAAACATTGCACCAGAGCCCAGCCCATGTCTGACTTTTCTACTGGATTGTGAAGCATTCCCATCTAATCTGTACAGAAAAAAATGCTGTAACTGCAGATGCACAGGCTGTGCCAATCCTGGAAATCAGCAGTCCTGTTAAGATGAAACTGCAACAGGCCATAAAGACAGGACATCTGCTCTGCTTCACGAGTTCAAGTCGAAACACTCAACTAAGATGAAGTCAAACTCCCAACTCAGAAAAGCCCAGGAGCAGATGGCTTCACAGCTGAATTCCACCAAACTTCTAATAAAGAACTAATCCTGGGGCCAGCACTGGGGCTTAGTAGGTAAAGCCTCTACCTGCGGTGCCAGCAACCCATACAGGCACCAGTTCATGTCCCAGCTGCGACTTTTCCAATCCCTTTCTATGTTAATGGCTTGGGAAATCAGTGCAAGATGGCCCAAGTGCTTGGGCCCTTGCATACATGTGCGAAACCCAGAAGAAACTCCTGGCTCCTGGCTTCTGATCAACCCAGCTCCAGCTGTTGTGGCCATTTGGGCAGTGGACCAACAGACAGAAGACCTCTCTTTCTGTCTCTCCCTTTCTCTGTCTGTAACTCTGCATCTCAAATAAATAAATGAATCTTAAAAAGATAATCCCAATACTTCTTAAATTATTCAAAAGAATTGAAAGGGAGGAAACCTTCCAAACTCAATTTATGAGGACAACGTTACCTTAATTCCAAAACCAGAGAAAGATACAACAAAAATAGAAGACTATAGACCAATGAACACAGACACAGAAATTCTCAATAAAATACTGGCAAATTAAATCCAACAATACATCAAAAAGAACACCCACCAAAAGCAAGTGAGATTTATCACAGGGATGTAGGGATGGTCACCACCACAAAATCAATAAACATGATACTTCACATCAACACAATGAAAGATAAAGACCTTTTATTGGGGCCAGCACTGTGGCATAGTGGGTAAAGCCATCACCTGCAGTGCTGGCATCCCACATGGGCGCTGATTTGAATTCCGGCTG